ATCATGTTGGTAGAGTTGGTGCCGTGAGGAAGACACAAGCGGCGCCCGTTTGGCAGATATGCTGGCTCTTGCCGCTGGTCCAAAACGATGATCGTCTTCTTTAAGTTTGAAATCTTTGTCTGGATCGCATAGGAAACCTGAAACGACCTTGGACCATCATTGATGCATATTGATACTTTGCACTTGGGGCACCAAAAAAGACCAACAAAATCAGCTCAGATCCGACTGGTCCTTAGGCAAGCAATCATGGCAAGCACAAGATGAACGCAGATCTTGCCCCGAGTGACTTGGACAGTAGGCTTTGGGAAAATGATGGGGTGATTGATTCGGGTTCAAACCTATAGTTGTTCCATCGATTTAGGAAGATGGAATAATGCCAAACGGAAAAAGACTCCGAGAAGACTCGGGGAAAACGGCTGGCATGAAGCCATTGGAGTTTCGATGGTCTCGTTCAAAAGAACCGAGATTTGGATGTCCGGGGACGTTGGTGGTAGAAATTGGTCAAACCCCAATGTGGTATGACCCAACTGACTGAAGGTGATGCAGCCGCTGCAAAGCCCAGTGAAGCGGCGAAGCCCAGCGAAGCCACGAAGCCGGCGGCGAAAGCTCTGGAAGCGAAAGCGGCCGCACCGGCCCCAGCAGAACCAGACCAAAAGGACACTGCGGTGGAGAGAGATGTGAAGAACACAATCAGCAAATTGAACCAGGATTTCAACCATTTCAGGACTTGTGAAATTTATATTTATTCTGTAGTGTCGGCGAAGTTTGCTTGAGAGAAATGTTCAGAGCCACAGGATTTTAGCAGCGGATGTTTGTCTCAAGCGCTAGAAGAACGTCTTGGTTAGGTCCACTCCATAGATCAAATCGAGGGATTGCATCCAGATCGGTGGAAAAATAAGGTACCCAAGGTATGCCAAGATATCCCAAATTGTTCTGAGGTTTATCACATGTTTCATTGTTTGACAGAATTCTGCTCGCCCAGTCTTTGAGCCATAGCCACCCAGAAACGTCGCAGGACGTAACCATTGAGGAACTGAAAGATCGGGTCAAGGAGGCGCTCTGCGGTATGTGCTTCATGTTTCCCCATGTCGCGAGGGATAGAGAACATATGAAGACTATCTTGGAAAGATCTGGAAATATAACAATCCAGGTTTAAGACTAGGTAAGACAATGGTGATTTAATGGTGATTTAATGGGATTGCCGGGGATTCAATAATGATTACCCTCCGGTGTGATCAAACGTGGCTAGCTGAGAATTCCTTGAACTAAATGGAGGTTTCTAGCTGGGGAAATCATCTGGAAATGGTGGATGTTCCATTGCCCTGTTCGATTACCGGATGGTAAAAACAATCACTGAACGATCTGGAAAGATAATAAATCTGTATAATATGATATCACTATGATTATTGTGATTATTTTTACTACTATTATATATATATACATGATTATATTATATATGTATGATTGTATCATGTTATATATGTGGAAAAACCACACGATTGATTTTCTCGCTGGGTCCGAAGATCTTTGGAGCCACAGGACGAGGATAAGATCGTGGAACTGGAGTATGAGAAGAACCACGCAGAGATGGAAAAGAAGGCATGGCGACGTGGAAAAACGTGGAAAATGGAAACCAAAAGGTGGCTGTCTGTATCGGTGGAACACAGTGTTACACAGATGTCCTAAAATTCCAAATTGGTTGATTTATTCTTATGGATTGACAAACAGAGAACCAATAGCTACATGATGATCAACAATATACCGGCCCCCTAATTCTGAAGTCACCATGTTTTGACCGTGAAACCGCACTTTTTCATTTTGAAGTAAACAGCAACATCATCAACAACAACAACAACATCATCATCATCATCATTAAAATGCTTTATTCTCCCACTTCCCCCACACTGTTTGGGGTCTCTTGCCGGGATAATTCCTTTTGAAGTCCCCCAGAGGACGCAGAAGCGGCTGCGGCCGAGCCTGGTGGTGGCACAGTGCCCACGTGGCTGGCGGCGGTCACGGTATCTCGGTCGGAAAAATCAGTGTTTTTCTCAGGTTTATGATGGGTATAATGTTGCTATGTTGCAAAAGCAACAATAAACCATCCCATTTACAAGGTATACAATGGCTACATACATATATATATATATGTGTGTGTGTAATGGGATATACACTTGGGATATAATGGCTATATATGATGGCCATGCTGGGATATGATTGGACATGAGACTATTGTTGCAAACCATGGGATATATGGAATAGCCATTGGAAATACAAGATCTGGATTGAAAATCAGATACAATGCCTAACATTGTACCTGGCAGCTACGGCTATATCATGGATCTATGATGGCTATAGAATGGCTAATATAATAGGAACATTGTAAATTACGATGAGTATAATGTTGCTAAAGCCATAATAAACCATCCCATTTACAAGGTATATAACGGCTACAATATAAATATATATATATACACACATACATACATATGTGGGATTATGCTGGGATATGCGTTTGTTTTACAAGATACGTATTTATATGCTATAGAACGGGTTGATGAGAAAAAATGGAATAAGCATTGGTTATATATATATTTATTTATTTGTATACATGAATATACACTTGGATATCTCACTGGGATATTATTGGACATGAGACTATTGTTATAAACCATTGGGTATGACGGAATACCCCTTGGATATAGGATATAATAGCTAATATTGCATATGATTGCTATCATCATGGCCAATATGATGGGATACAATTGGGATATGATGGCTGTACAATGGATATATGGGTTGTAGGAATACCAATTGCTAATTTGTCAGGTCTATGGGGATTTTGTCAGGAATTGATTTTACCGGGTAATACCCATTATATAGCTAGTTAGGTGGTTTATCATGACGGCTAATATTACTTGTCTAAGGTTTGTAATGGGTATAAATGGGTATACAATTGGATATATGGTGATTCACTGGGATATATTCGGATTCGTATGGTCAATCAATATCTGGATTTGCAATTGGGTAAGCGTTATGTAATGGCTGAATGATGGCTATAAAATTTCTAATATGATTGGATACATTGGGATTTCTGATGGGTATACACTTGGTACATGGCAAGTCCATCATCACTGGGAAAAATCCATATAAGACCCATCATCCTGTGAAGAATTATCAGTTCATAATGGATGGGACGATCAGTCCCATTGGATATGATGGGATGACCATTGGATCAAGATCTGGATTTACAATTGGATATTTAGTGGATATATGATGGGATGCCATTCTTGTATCTGATGGCTAATAGATGGTTTTTTCAATCCAAATTTCTGGCGGTCAGCTGCCGAGACTGGGAATGTTCACCCTTGATGAATTGTGCACTAAAGATGGTGATTTTCCCAGCCTCTCCCTGTACTGCAGTGGGTGATTTCAGGATGTTTGATTATATCATAGCATATAGATGTACATATTTTAGACTTGGAGGTGCACTTCATCTTATTTGATGATGTTTTTGATGATAATTGATGTTATTCATGATATATTGTTTTGGTATGTGGTTTCCACATGAAGCAAGAAGATGTGGACTTAGCTTTGTGAACTACCTTGGCAGTAGGTGTTTCACACGAACTCGTGCTGAGGTCGGTTTGGTCTTCATTACTGGGCCTCTTCTTAAGATGAAGGCCGCGTACTTCGGGGCGCTTCAGACTGCCATGGCAGGATGGTTTGCATTTCTTATCGACACAATTTCAGCGCCTCCTGACTCCTCACTGTAAAGACATGGCACACTTTCTTCCTGTCGCATACCCTCCACTAAACTAACATATCTATGGAAATTCACCATGTTTTTCTGGTACATCATCTATAGATTGGCAATTTTCGCAAACTGTTCAATGACCAGAGGGTCCCGACAGGCATCGCAGAAGGCCGCAGCCGCAACGCCCAAAGCCAAGCCGAAAGCGGCTCCAAAAGGAGCAGCGAAGGCAACAGCGAAAGCAGTGCCGAAAGCCGGAGCCTTGGCTCCGAAAGCCGGAGCAAAATCCAAAGCGGTGGCCAAGGCCATCGAAGAAAGGGTGAGGAGATTGGGGATGATTGGGGAAAACCATGGGGGATTTGCCCAAAACCATGGCCTATCAGTAGCAAAAGCTCGGATTGATATGCTGTTTCTCAAAAATTTTCTCAGGACTATCAAAATGATGAGGAACATGATGAAAGATTTCATGGCAGATTTTTCAAAGACACCTGTGGTCAGAACTTGCCATAATTCATGTGGCTATTGGTCAAATCAATCAACCACAAAGCTGATGATTTCACATTCCTCCGAATAAAAAATCGGGAGTGTCACTAACACATCGGACTGGTCTGTTTTTCGCATATCAACATTGTTTTAATTTTTTTGGGGCATAGAAATCAGGTTTTTTTCCCACAGCGTTGCGCATGTCCACTGCTAGGCCAAAAGCGCTGGAAAACGGCAGGTCGGGCCTTGAGACGATCCATTTGTGGATGGTGTGTGACCCATGGGGATGGGTCGCCGAGGTACCAGAAGTGTCCTTCAAACAGCTCAAGGTGTGGTGACAAAGATGGATCATGTGTTACAGCTCAAGGATGTGGAAAAAGCCAGCATTGATAGATCATTTTCCATCATATTCCATCATTTTCCATCATATTCCCAAGCGCTTCCCCACATTGATAGTACACAGCTGAATCTTTACCCGACGCTGGAGAGGCCATCCTGAGGTCTGAAGCTCAGTCCATTGGTCGCTGGTGATTGTGAAAAAATATCATGGTAAATGGTAGTGAATTTGTGGGTTACCCAGAACTTCCGAATTTCCAGAATTTCCAGAATTCCCCACATGGAGTCCAAAAATTGCTGCACCACCCAGTTTTCGTTCGACCTTGGCTCAAAAGTTGGGGCAATGGCCGCAGATATCCCGAAGCGGCTGACGTTTCAAGTTGTGGGCCTGGATGGAAGGATCACAGACTTCTGCGCCTCGTCACACTGTTCCGGTCATCCATTCATGTAATGGTTAACTACTGGTTTGAAATGGTTAACCATATAATTAGTTCATAATATGATTACTATGAGTAATATGGTTGTGTTAATTAATTATTAATGGATAATAATAGTTAATAATGGATAATGGTTATTATAATATAATTTCCACTATTGGTTCATAGTATGGTTTATGATTTAAAGATCATTTCCAGGCAAGTTCCAATCATTTCGGGAGGGAACTTTTATTCCGGGGTTTTTGTCATTGCCGCTTGCGATTTTGGGATTCCTTCAGTGTCCAGGTTTCATCGCCAGGTTTGCCTCAAGACACTTTGGGGCGCGACTTGTTGGAGACGGTTCGCAAGGAGCTGCCAAAGCCCGGGGCGAAGCTTGTCACTTGTCACGCAGGATGGGGAGATTGGCAATGGCATATGCCTATGTCTCCTTGCACGTGGACATGTTCCATGGAGATGTTTCGTGTGTGTTTTTTTGGGGCTCTTGGAAGGGAATGCGATGGAATGGGTTTTTTTTCCTGGTTTTTCCGGTGTTGCCAACACAACTGGAGGCATCGAGTTTTAAAGGTTTGATGAACTCAGCCCACAGCCAACCGCGACGCATTTCAGCGCTTTGAAGGTCTTGTTCTTCAGAGATTTGCCGATCTCTTTGACAGAAAGATTGAAAGCTTCCTGGCCGAACTTCTCACTTTATCAACTTTATCAGATCCATTTGGTGATGACAATTCCCGGAAGAAAAGGACTTGTTTGGATTGAGGCACTGGACATCACATTTTAAACTGGAGCCATTCAGCCATTCGTCATTTCAGCTGAGGAGATCTTGGCTGGCGAAACTGGCACATTGTCCTACAGCTATCAACAGATCAATGTGTCCCTGGATGCAATGCAATCATGAATCTCTGTCGATGACAAACATTCATAAATACGGTGGCTATTGATGAATTAGATATAAACGCATTCTATGGTGGGTAGATGATATTCTGGAGAAAATGTGTCCCATAGATTGGTGGTAGTTTACCAGTTTTTGCCACGGCATGTTGTTGACTCTTCACCCGAGCCTGTTGAAAATGAGCTTGGAGCTTGTGGAAACACATGATGAACCAATGATTTGGAGACCCCAAAGACTCACCAAGCTGGTCCGTATTTGATCCATCTTTACTTTGCCCATGCTATTTCACCCATGGTTTGAAGTGAAATGAGCTTCAGCCATTGGTTTTCAGGGCATCACCCGAGCTCAATTTTTTGTTAGCACCTATAGATGGCTTCCCCAAGAAACTGTGGGACAGGAATGGGTTTTTGCAACCCGTTTACTCTTCCATCAAACCATCCATCCATATGAAGAGTGATTATTTTTAACAATCCATTAGTTAATGGCTTCTTAATAACATTAACTAATTAATTAACCCAGTTTTCAGGACCCATTAACTATCAATCAGTTCCATGCCCCTTAATTAGGCTTAGTTATTAATTGATTATGGGACTGATTAACTAGTTATTAGTTAATTAACTATCCATTCATTAAGGACTCCTTAATCTATTAGTTCTGAATCAATCAACCCATTTAGACTTCCAAGGCTTCAAGCCTGGAGCGCCCTGGTAGAGACCGGCGACGCGGAGTGCCTAGAGGGGATACGTCACATCGCAACCCGGTGGACTTAAAAGAATGCTGGGTAGATGGTGGGTATCTGTTGGATATATGGTGTGAATAGTGGCTAATAATGGATTAATCATGAGTTATAATGGGAAAATTGCGTTAAGAATGGATAGTAATGATTGATAATGGATTAGTAATGGATTAATAATGGATAAGCATGATGGATAATGATGATGGTTATTGATGATGAATAATGATTAATTTGTGAATCACAATGATTGATAATGATTGATAATGATTGTTTTTAGTGTTAGTAAAGCAATGTCATAACCAGCCATGTAAATTGATGGTTGTTTCATCCCAGCCATAAGTTTGGGAAGTCATTGGGGATGATGTGAATATTCTACAGCCATCATAAATGGGTATAATGATTAATAATGATAAAATGACATAGGCAGCATTTTCTTCTGGTGGGTATTTGAAAATGATGGGTGTTAGTTGATGATATTCTATACCTATAACCATCATGAATGAAGAATGATGAATATATACTGATTCTCATATCTTCTTATGGGAAACGCGGTAAGGACACCATTTGATCCAAAAGGATTCTATTTTCGCTGGGACGGGATGGACATGTGATATTTTGTTTGGTTCTCTTCATCTCATTTTTGTAGCCAATAATTTCGAGACATACACAAATGGATGGAAAGGAGTGCCTTCCAAAATTGATGGAAACGATGGGGATGTGTTTATAATGCCATCGTCTGGAAAAGGTCTAAATTCTTCATGTAGGTTCGGCTGCCACCAAGACCTATGGACTGCGCAGTTTTCACGATGCGCTGGTTTCGTTTCCACGCAGTTTGAAGACTTTGACGTTGGACGAAGATTTTAATCAACATTTGGAGCACGTGTCTCTGCCAGAAGGCAGGGTTACTTGAGGCTTCAACATGATATTGACAGTGTCAAAGTGGCAATGTATCTATTGGCGGATGGAACAAATGAGAAGAAATTACAAACACATTTTGATGGGGACGAACAAGGCTGGACCTGTTTGACTGAACGAGCCTGTCAGGTCTGAAGAGTTTGCGGTTACCCAGAATTTGTTCAGCAACCGTTTTTTCAATTTCTGTGAAATGTGTTTTTGAATCCCGCAAAAACTGAGTTTTAGTTGTTTTCTCAAGTGTTTTGGAAGTCATACTGCAGGTTCGGCTGTGAGTTCAACAGGAGTTTGGAGCGCGTTTCTTTGCCGAGCAGTTCCTCGTTCTTTGGTGCATCCCCAAATCCACTGCTCATTTTCCCTACTCAAAAACCTATGTTGGTGGTAGACTCCATTTTCCGACACCCAAGACCAGTTGAAGCAACAGCATTTTGTTGGAATCGCACCAACTGAGGCCTTGAAGACTTGACTTTTGGATACTGTTTCAACAAGCCCCTGGACCATGTAAAGCTTCCCGATGGCCTGAAGCACCTGACGTTCGGATCGAATTTTCAGCAGAGTTTAGAGCCGGTTCCTCGGCATGTGGGAAATGTGGAGCTTCCTGGGAGGTGGGCCGGCATGCCATACGGATGTGAAGATAGCCCGTTGATGGCCATTCATATGGGTATTATCTGTATTATGATGAACCAGTGCATGATTAGCCAGTGCAGGGTTAGCCCATTTTCAGAGAAACTCATGTAGGAAGGCTATGAGACTGAAAGTGGAAGGATTGAATAAGGAGTTCCAGATGCACCAACCATTGACACAGGCCACATAGTTCGCGGACCGAATGAGGTCAAGCTCCCACAATTGCAAAGCCTCACTTTCGGAGACTTGGCCCTGCGGTCAGTTCAGGTGACTAGGGTTGAAGAGGTCCAGTTCAAACAAACCAGGTTAACATCAAGCTATTCAATAGTCACATCATGTCACATCAATAGTCAATCTCAAGAATATATACGTACATATATTTCAAAAAAATAGGCAACGTCAAATCTTTCAGACAAAATAGTATGAATTTTAGTAATTTGTTTGTCATCCTTCGCCGAGGCGAAGGCTACAACCAACCTCTGCGTGGAGACCTCCCCAGCCTTCGATCCTTGACCTTTGGGGCTTGGCATCTTGGCAAGGTGCACATGCGGCGGTTTTTCCCGAGAGCGCCTGCGAAGGGTTCTTCGTAAAAAAGCAGCCGTTGTAATACATCTTCACACCTTCACAACTGCTGATCTACATCTTCACACCTTCACATCTGCTGATCTACATCTTCACACCTTCACTCACACCTGCTGATCTACATCTTCACACCTTCACGCCTGCAGATCTACATCTTCACACCCTCACATCTGCTGATCTACATCTTCACACCCTCACACCTGCAGATCTACATCTTCACACCGTCACATCTGCAGATCTACATCTTCACACCTTCACATCTGCAGATCTCCTCTCGCTCTTCTTTCTATCTCTCTCTTAAGGCGGGGGTGGTGCCGCCGGAGCGCCATGAAACGCAACCCTTTCGCACGAAATGGACGTTGGACGTCAAAAACTGAGGTAAAATTGCAATTTTGAGGTGTCACGGGCAACCCTTTCACACGAAATGGACGTTGGACGTCAAAAACTGATGTAAAATTGCGATTTTAGTTAGTCCACCGCAACCCTTTCGCACGAAATGGACGTTGGACGTCAAAAACTCAGGTAAAATTGCGATTTTGATGTATCCATCGCAACCCTTTTGCCACGAAATGGACGTTGCACGTCAAAAACTGAGGTAAAATTGCGATTTAACTTGGCCCATCGCAACCCTTTCACACGAAATGGACGTTGGACGTCAAAAACTGAGGTAAAATTGCAATTTTGAGGTGCCACGGGCAACCCTTTCGCACGAAATGGACGTTGGACGTCAAAAACTGAAGAAAATTGCGATTTTACTTTGTCCATCGCGACCGTTTCGCACGAAATGGACGTTGGACGTCAAAAACTGAGGAAAAATTGCGATTTTACTTTGTCCATCGCGACCCTTTTGCACGAAATGGACGTTGAACGTCAAAAACTGAAGTAAAATTGCGATTTCACGGGTCCGGTCTCAGTGTGAAAGTGTTTGTGTGTAAAAGCTTCTGTGTGTGAAAGTGGTTGTGTGTAAAAGTTTCTGTGTGTAAAAGTTTCTGTGTGTAAAAGCTTCTGTGTGTAAAAGCTTCTGTGTGTAAAAGGGTCTGTGTGTAAAAGGGTCTGTATGTAAAAGCGTCTGTGTATAAAAGCGTCTGTGTGCAAAGGAGTCTGCGTGTAAAAGCCTCTGTGTGTAAAAGCTTCTCTGTGTAAGTAAAAGCTTCTGTGTTTAAAAGCTTCTGTGTGTAAAAGTGTCTGTGTGTAAAATGGCCTGTGTGTAAAAGTGTCCGTGTGTAAAAGCGTCTGTGTGTAAATCTTTCTGTGTGTGTAAAAGTGTCCGTGTGTAAAAGGGTCTGTATGTAAAAGCCTCTGTGTGTAAAGGAGTCTGTGTGCAAAAGCTTCTGTGTGTAAAAGCCTCTGTGTAAGTAAAAGCTTCTGTGTTTAAAAGCTTCTGTGTGTAAAAGTGTCTGTGTGTAAAATGGTCTGTGTGTAAAAGCCTCTGTGTGTAAAAGCTTCTGTGTGTAAAAGCTTCTGTGTTTAAAAGCTTCTGTGTGTAAAAGTGTCTGTGTGTAAAATGGTCTGTGTGTAAAAGGGTCTGTATGTAAAAGCTTCTGTGTGTAGAAGGGTCTGTGTGTAAAGGAGTCTGCGTGTAAAAGCCTCTGTGTGTAAAAGCTTCTGTGCGTAAAAGCTTCTGTGTGTAAAAGCTTCTGTGTGTAAAAGCTTCTCTGTGTAAGTAAAAGCTTCTGTGTTTAAAAGCTTCTGTGTGTAAAAGTGTCTGTGTGTAAATTGGCCTGTGTGTAAAAGTGTCCGTGTGTAAAAGCGTCTGTGTGTAAATCTTTCTGTGCGTGTAAAAGTGTCTGTGTGTAAAAGCTGCTGTGTGTAAAAGCGTCTGTGTGTAAAAGCTTCGGTGTGTAAAAGTGTCTCTGTATAAAAGCGTCGCGTTTCTTCACATCCGAGGAATGATGGTACCGAGCTTTTTCGGCAATGCGTGTAGGAATTACCATATTAAAATGAGATAACACATGTCATTTGCAGCATCATGGTACCAAGCCTCCTGTGCACTTTTGTTGCTCACTTTATATTTCTCCATGTTTTCTTTCTCTCTCTCTCTCTCTCTCCCTCTCTCTCTCTCTCTCTCTCTCCCCCTCTTTCCCTCTTTCTCTCTCTCTCACCCTCTCCCTCTTCTCTCTCTCCGTCTCCCTCTCTCTCTCTCTCTATCTATGTCTCTCTGTGGTTGCAAGACACGTGTCATCTGATGCCCTTTACCAAATATCCTCTTCTTAATCAATCTTACTTTTCACACCTTATCCCTCCATAGCTCATATAAAATTCACCAACCATTCACCGACTATCTTTTACGACTACCATCCTCAGAGCTGCTTGAAAAACATCTTTTTCGCTCTCGGGCCAACCGTCGTCTAGTTTTCATTGGAAAAACAACGACAAAAATTGGGATTTAAGGGATTTACACGGGAAAAATTGGTGAATTCCTTGAATTCTATTTATTTTTTGGGTGGATGTAATTGGTGTTTCGAAATTGGATGGAAAAAATGATCGGAGACCTCTATATTTGAGGATTTAAACCATGGTTTCCTGCAGGTTGTCCCTGAAACCAATCCATTTATAAATGGGAAACCATGGGCAAAAATGTTGATTTCACCGGTTTTACGATCAAGAATCAGAATGTGGATTTAAAGATGATTCAAGTGGGCAAACTCACTGGTGAAGGGTAAATGGCCAGTTTTTGTCGGTCTGCCACGGTGCCAGGTACAATCAGTCCTTGGAGGGTGTGGAACTGCCAGAGGGCCTCGAAAGCTTGCGTTTCGGGCGCCAATACAATCGCAGCTTGAAGAAGGTACAACTACCAGCAGGTTACCCAAACTGCAATCAGTTTGGTGCTGACATCATATGACTCACAACGACAAACATCATGCTGGGACCACCATCGTTAGCCCGAGGTTTGAGAACCTTGATCTTTGGGTATGGCTTCAATCAGATCTTGGACGAAGTGAAGTTTCCTGAAGCTTTGCAAACTTTGACCTTTGGAGATGGATTTAAGAAAAGTGCCTCGATATCTGGGGATGTTTCTGAAGCTCATGCCTTGTGGTGCTGCAGTACTTCTATTGTTTGGATATGTTTGGATAGTTTTATTGTACTTGAAAAAATATGTGCATGAAACACCCATGTCGCCTGGCAAAAGATCAAAAGCGATTGTTTTACATACAATTTCACATTATATAACATGATTGCGTGCGAAACTGCAGCACTCCGGTACCGTTTCTTTAGGTATGCATAACGTGCTGCTTCCAAGCAGTCTTCGAAGCCTCATCTTCGGCTCAGCATCGGATCCGATGTGGCGCTGCTTGGCAGAAGTGCCAACCATTTGTGGATGAGATATGCTGAAATACTTTAGAAGAAACGAACATAATTTTTGTAGGCCCCAGTGGTACCCCATCTCGGTTTGCCAGGTCACCAAGTGATGTTTTTGCGCCAGTATGCTGTCAGGTCTAAGTCATGTGACACTGCCCAGCAATCTACAGAGTCTCGCCTTGAAAGCGCCTCATTGCCATGCATATCTCGAATTTGTGGATTTGCGAGGCTTTGGTTTGACTCGTTGTACCTGGAATCAAACGTGGCTGGCTGGGAAATCCCCGAACTAAATCGAGGTTTCAATGGGAAATTCATCGATAAATGATGGTGGATTTTCTGCCACGATTACCAGAGGGTACATCAGATGTTCCCATAAATAGATGAATAATCCCTTGATTGCCTAATTATTGCTGGCAAAATTCCCCATTAATCTATTCACCATTGCAGGGCATTATAGATTAATCCCCATTAATCCCCATTATTCCCCATCAATCTATGCCCCACTAATCTATTCACCCAGGTATTTTCCCAATTTTCCCCTGGGTGTTTCACCGGAGCCAAGGATTTTGTCGATCTCGGCTTTGGATGGCGTAGATCTGCCAGGCACATCCGCCAAGGATTTGAGGATTTGAGTCCCCATGAGTGATGAAACCTCCAGAAATGTTGCTATATAAGCATATAAATTAATATGTTAATATGTTATATATACCATATATATATATGGTATATATACATATATATATGTATATATGGTTTATATGTATATGTATATATATATTATATATATATGTTATATATATATGTTATATATATGTATATGTTATATAACCATGTAGAACTGGAATACAATGAATCACTCTGGATTGAAGGTGGTTACCTCTAACTTGTTGAACAGCAGGAACCAGTTGGGATCACGCCAGGCACATTGGAAAGTTTGACGATTGGATGCCTGAAAGGCGTTCATTTGGACTGTCCCTCAACTGCAGTGATCAGAGGCGGTTGTGAAACACGAATCCACCATTTTTTGAGTCCAATGGATTGGTTCACTACATTTCGCATCTTGATGTTACGAAATGCTGGTGATCCTACCTTGTTACGGGGCTCAAGTGGATAGATGGCTGTCTAAGAGTTTCTTTCATGGAGACTTGAAGAGATGGAAGTGGTGTGGTCCTGAAATGCCATGCCAGGTTTGCCTCAGCTTCGGAGCTTGAACTTCACAAACGTTTCGCGCTCTCCGAGCATTCAACAAGTGCCACTGCTGGAATCAAAGCTCGAGAGTTTGACCCTTGGAGGACTGGCTTTTTTGATGGGTCAGGCGTTCACCATGGCAACAGTGATGCGTTGATCTGTGCGAAGGCCACCTGTCAAGTTTTCATCAAATTGATCTGAATCTTAACACCAGCCCAAAAATCCACCAGATTTTTCCGATCAGATTCGAGAATCCACCAGACATTTTCCCCAGGATCTTTCAACGAAAACCTGGATTTCGTGGCCTTCCCCGGCACCCTACGACAGCTTCGTTTGGGCGACCGCTTCGACCAATCCTTGGAGTTCGCTGAGTTGCCGAACGCCTTGGACTCCTTGAGTTTTGGCACAAACTTCAACCAGCACTTGGAGGCGATGGGATGACTCGGATGATGCTGATCTCCCATTGTGGTTGGTTATATAATGTACATTCATGGGAGATAGAGGAATATAGCAATTGGATGATATAGCAATATTCAACGATTGATGGGATGATGGATGGTAATATCCCATGGATGGGAAGATGAGAGTGAGAAATGGATTCCCAGCAGGTTGAGTTGATGTGACTCTGTATTGTCCAGTATGTGATAAGACGTGAAATACTGACTAATCTCTTGCCACAAACGGGAATGTATTAACCTATCCAGCTAAAATGTAAAGCCTAATCAGCTAACTTTGATCTGCTGGGTGTTCTGGTGAGAGTGTTGTTTTGAATGGGCTTTAGGTTTTGGATGTGTGTGTGTGTGTTTTGATAGTTATGGTTGGTTGATGGAGCAATGTTGAGTATGTTGGGCTTCTCCAGAAGCAGCCCATCAACCAACCATGACTGGGGTGAAAAGAATCATCCCAAATCTGGGCCCAATATCAAAGCATAATTGGGGATGGTTGTACCAAAATATCATGCTAATGCTTGATTTTTTGGGACAACTATATTGGGTAAACCATGATAGTCTTATTTTTCAGAACAATCCCAAGACTATCCTCAACGCACCGTTGAAGGATATGACACTTCCTTCAAGATTGCAACATCTGACACTGGGCACGACATTCAACCAGAGTCTGGAGCACGTGAAGTGGCCGAGCAGCTTGCAGAGCATCACTTTTGGTTTTCAGTTCAACCAGAATTTGGAGCATGTTGTGTGGCCCAACAGTTTGAGAAGCTTGACTTTTGGTCCACTTTTCAAGCAGAATTTGGAGAACGTCAAGTGGCCCAGCAATTTGCAGTCGCTGACGTTCCACAGTGGCTGTGGCAGCAATTAGTCTGTCAGACCCAGGAAGTGGAATAGTCTGTGCAGGTCGGCAGTTCAAGCCTGGCAGTCTCTGACTTCACTGGTTTTACATGTTAACATGGTTTTGGGCTGCAGAAAAACAAGATGTTCACAAATGAGCAGTGTTCCAAACCCCTTTTAATTCAAGATCATATGGGTTTATACTATGTTACACTATCCAATGTTTACACTATCCAATGTATTTGGGATCGTTGTCATCCACAATGGAAACTTGTTTGGCCGAGGTCTTTTCAACCACAATTTGGAGAAGCTGGCATTTCCGGCCAGCTTGCAACACCTCACCTTGGGCAAGTTGAGTCAGAAACTTGGGATAAACTAGATCTGCAGCGAGAAAATTCCAACAAAAAATTGGCCCAGAAACCCCCAAGTTTCCATTAAATCAATCCAGGTTACGTGGGTGTCTTCTTGAAATGATCACAAAATGCAAACAGATAGTCCATTGAATAGCGGCGCTCATGGACCCTTCCCTTCGAGAGTCTACGTCCATGTGCAAATGTTTGTGGCACGGTACCAAGATGTGATGAGTCTTGTGCTTCCACCAACGTGTGTAAAATTTATTGTAAAGTACCAAACTCATCCAAATTCCTTCTGTCAGAGTCACTTCCTAGTTGGTTGTGGCGGGGTTTCCCAGCTGACTTGGAGCTACTGCACATGATTCTTGATTTTTTCCCACTGGTTCATCCACCTTTTTGACAAAATCGACTGTGATTCACCAATGAAAAAATATCAAGTCGTCCGTTCATCATAGTTAGTCCATTGTTAATCCCAGCGAATACACCATTTTGTTTCTTTATTGGTGAATCCTATTTTTTCCATGTTTTCATCCACGTGTAAAACAAAATCGCCACCACGAGGAGCGCAGGGCAGTTACACTGCGCTTCTCTGCAGAGCTTTTCAGCCAACGATGTGTCTGTGGCCCTTTGAGGCTGATGTTGCGCATCCAACGGAGCCTCAACACAGAGCTTGGGGGAATTCGAATCGAAACAGTCGGGACCTCCAAAAACCTATGGCTCAAAAAATGTGGTGCCAAGGGGCCCACATTCTTTGATTTTTTTAGTTTCAAATCATCCCCCAATTGGGGTCATGAATGGAACTTTACATCTTTATCCAAGGTATCTATCGGTCCTGCCACATATCTCGCAGATCGCTTCATTCTTTTGGGGAGTTGGGAGTACATTTTTCTGTAGCTTGAAGCAATTATTGTAGCTGTTTTTTTTGCTTGGAGAACCTGCTGGGAGCCACCAAAATCTTGCTCTAATCCAACAATTCATCAATTCCTGGCGACTTCATAGCCGACCAACCTCCACAAAAGACATTTTTCCCCATTTCATGTCCTTACAACAGGATTAAACAAAGACAAGTCATGGGAAAGAAAAATGGTATGTCGAAAAAGTTGGTGGAAATTGAATATACTCAAATACCCTAGTTGCAGTGATCGTTGATTTCACTTCGAGTGGGAGTTTTAACAGCCACATATCAACGACTGGAGTTGTTTTTGAATCCATGAGGAATCTCCAGGCACTCGCTCTGAACAGGTTGGAGTTCACGGAGACCGCAAGTCGTCGGCCTGCGTCGGCCTGCGTCGGCCTGCATCAGCCTGTCGGGATGCCTAAAGTGCACCTATTGATGTTCTTTGTGTTTCATTGATGTTGGTCAGCATATTTCGGCCTGTGATCTTGGTCAGCATAATTGACTTCAGAGCTGTGCAGTTGCATTCCATTATGACTTCGACCTCAATCGCATGCCACGCGGTTCAATGCAGTCGCTCTTTCCTCACGGGTCGCGTTTCATGGCGGCCTTTGCAATTCTTTTCTCAATATATTTGTGGTCCCTGGTGGTGTCCCAGGACCCGGATGATCCGGATGATCCCCGCAATCCTGGTGGATAGAGTGGGTACTGAGGAACATGAATCTTTGATTCTCATAGAATTGATAGGTCCAAGGCTGAAAAAAGGTTGATGATTTTGTTTGCATATGGAACCGCAATGGACCTCCACTCTTGACAGTGCAAATTCGCTGACAAGCTAGATTCGTGAAAGCACCGAGCGTTTTGTTTTGTGTCCCATGAATTGAGGATTCAACACACCGACACCAATCGTATGTTTTCTTCTTTCGTGGGTCAGGGTGCTGCAGTGATAGTGATGTCACCAGCCCCTGTAATTCCTTGTCTCCTGGTCAGGACAACGAAGCCTGCGTTGCAGGGAAGTGTGGTTTCAACAGCTCCAACGATGTGGCCTCCATGGTCCAACTCAATGTTGGCCAGTCTTCCGGTATCAACACGATGAGAAATGACTTTAGATTGGCAGATGAAGGTCACTCAGTGGAAGTGAAGCCGGTGGAATCATCGCATGTGTGGAGAGATAACTGCAATCAACAATTCGGTGATAATAAAAAATATCATTCCAAAACCACAAGCGCATGAATTGCAATCATTCGTCATCCTTTTTCACGAAAGGTAGCCTAGGCTACCTGAGTTCCTTGTACTTAGAAGATAATATGTATTTAGGTCGGAAAGAAATTGCTGATTCCTCGCTGCTTGTAAGGCTTCTCACGTTCCATCTTCATGATCTTTGTGGGGATTTCAAAAGGTTTGTGTGATCTATGTGATTTGTGATTCCCATCTCACGTTCCCATCTCACTCCACACTTTACACTCTACACTTTACACTCCACACTCTACACTTTGCACTCTTCACTGTACACTTACACTTTACACTTCGTACTCCACACTCTACACTTCACACTTTACCCTTTACACTCTACACTTTACACTTCACACTCCACACTTTGCACTTCACACTCCACACTGTGCACTTTACACTTTACTTTAGACTTTACACTTTACACTTTACTTCACGCTTTACACTTTACACTTAACACTCCAAACGTTACAATTCACACTCCACACTTTACACTCCACACTCCACACGTTACAGTTTACACTCCACACTCCACACTTCACACTCCACACTTTACACTTTACACTTTACTTTACACTTTGCACTTTACGCTTTACACTCCAAACTTACACTTCACACTCCACACTTTGCACTTCACACTCCGTACTGTACACTTTACACTTTGCTTTACACTTTACACTTTGCACTTTACACTCCACACTTCACACTTCACACTTTACACTTTACTTCACGCTTTACACTTTACACTTTACACTTTACTTCACACTTTACACTCTACACTTTACACTCCACACTGCACACTTTCAACTCCACACTTTACACTTTTCACTCTACACTTTACACTCCACATTTTTGCACTTTAGACTCCACGCTGTGCACTTTACACTCCACACTTTACACTCCACACTCCACAATCCGGCTTTCGTCACACTCCACACTTTGCCCTCCTCCCCTTTCCACATTCAATAGTGTACAGCGCACTGGTGCTGTAACAGGGGCAAAATGGAACAATCTACAAGACTGTTCGAAAACTTGTTTCACAAAACTGTTTTACGTGACTGCATTCGGGTTTGTTGGTTTCTCTTGTTTTTGCTGGTTGAGTTCTTATTGTACGGCATTGATTTCTCATGTTGTGTAAGTCAGCCTGAGCTCGGCTCAGTTTATATTCTCGACCCTCCTCTGTGAGCGATGTTTGTGTTGTGTGTATGTGTTGTGTGCGCGTGTGTGTTTGAATTGCGCGCGTGCTGTTGTCATGTCATGCTGTCTCAGGAAATGATGGTTTTCGGGCTGGCTAGGTTCTTGCACGGCATTGTTTGTCATTCTGCATGTCCAACCAGGGATGCAGCTAGAGCGTCCTTTTTTTGTTTTCTACATGCCTAGTGACCAGGGATTGGCAGCTATATATTGCCGTATCCGAGGATAGGTCAAGTGAGCTGAGAAACTCACACCTTCGACACGCCACCGAGGTGACAGCTGCCAGGTGGCGTGTGGCGGCACTAACGGTGGGCCGCCTGTTTGTGACACGACAGAGATGGCAACGGTTGATCAGGCTGACATCGAGACACTGATTGCGCCCAAAACATGCGCGAACGTATTCGTCAACCCTGTTACAATCAGCCCATATGTTCTGACCGAGCCGAACGGGCAAAAGTTGTGCTACACAAACCCATCGGCAGCAAATATTCAATGCAATGCTGCACCACCTCCCCCTTCCGGCGGCGTCGTGAGACAACGAGTTTGCTCCTGTCTTCCCACCACAACGACCTCCACCACCACAACAACCACCACAACCACCACAACGACAACCACCACAACGACAACCACCACAACGACAACCACCACAACCACCACAACGACAACCACCACAACGACAACCACCACAACGACAACCACCACAACGACAACCACCACAACCACCACAACGACAACCACCACAACGGAGGATGAGACAACGGAGGAACCAATGACCACCACAACCGACAAACCCTATGGACGACATCGTCGACACCGAAGGTTCCGGCGTTTCCTCCCCTTCCGCCGTCACGACCAACATGGCTACTAGGATCAACACGGCTACCGCTACTCGCGCCTTGGTAGAACTTAGAAGATGCGGCGGATTTAGCTTTGGGTTTGTCCAAACTTGGGTCAACCCCTAAAGACAGAGGTTGAAATTGCCTGCGGAGAACGGAGAAAATCATATTCCGAGCGGAGATTGCCACAGATATGGCTGGAGTTCAGCACAAAACCGTAGGGTTCAGAGTTCTGAGGAGGTCATGGTGCATGTCATGCTTTGGGAACGACGGACTGTGGGGCCTTCCGCGGGAGATTTCAAAATTTGGCTCCCATTTGCATGGAAGAATGGAAGAGAGCTGCACTGTTCACTTAATTAAGCCAGCATAGAACCCCAAAAACGAGGTACCACATGTATTTTTATGTAAGCAAAGATACCACATACCTTTGGGAAGAGCTCACACACTTGCTCAGAAATAGCTTATCGAATTACTAATGTGGAATGCATCGAACGTGCAAAAACACCTCAATTAAACCTGACAGGAGGGAATTGATGACACGATCTGAGAAAAATCCAAAAGTAATCCCTGTTTGGTCTCAGCCAGAAGCAACTGTTCCATCTGACGAAGTCGGCAGAAGTTCAGATTGCGGAAACCGTACTGACATCAAGTTGAAGGTTTGTTTGAAAAAGTTTGAAAAGGTAGACAAACGACATGCCGGTTCTTGGCTTGGCCGGTCGCCATTTCGGAAATTGAAAAATGCAGGTACACGGAGGTGATCAATCTCCGCTTCCCCCATTGTGGAATAGCTTCGTTGGCACAGGTATCCACAATGGGCTTGTGCCCCCTGCTGAAATTCACATTGGAAACCATTGCAGAAATTCAAGTAGAAAATCAAACTAAGATTTGAACGTCAGGCGAAAAACGAATCACATGCAAGTTAGAAGTTTTACATCTTTTCAGATGTTCCACACACACGCCCCGCTGCCGCGAGGCTGTTTTTGCAACGACTGCATGAAAGTTAGCAAAGCTCTTATCTGTTCCCTGAGACAGGATGTAGCAAACGAGGCAAAATCAAAACACAGGGAATGGGATGCAATTGAATTATCCGGTCTGCTCAGATTGGACATCGGAAAGGTAGTTCACGTTGCCACTAGTCACTAGTCATCGATTTCGGACAATTCTTCCATGCCTGTTGGGCTAGGACTTGCGTTGTCAGGGCCAAGTGGCTTGCAAGATGGGCCAGGTCTGCTGCCGTGAAGACCTGGACCGGGCTGGTGCTCAAGTCATCTCCTGGATTCTCAAGCTTCTCGAGGATCGCAGCATTGGAGTCCCTGTCATTGTTGAGAATGTTGAAGAGGACTGTAGCCAGCTGGTGGATCTGACTTGGAACCGATGCCGTACCAACATTGGCAGCGATGGAATCATCGTCTTCCATCTCCGATTTTGGTGTTGACTCTTGGCTTTCTTCATGTCAATCAGCATTGTCAGACGGCTGCTGGTGATGATGCCAAGAGTTGTTCTCAGTGTTCACTTCAGGGATGTTGAAGTGACGACGCCAGTAGTTGGCTAGTTGGGTAGATTGTTCCCAACTGCGTGACCCAGCCTTGGCGGTCTGCACGAATGTGACCAACAATTCCGTTGAAGAAGAACTCCGGTTGACGGTTTCGTTGAACACCGAAACGATCCACTTCTGTCACCATAAGGCGATTGACGCCTGTCTGGTGAGGAGATATGACCTCTTTGAAGATGTGAGTGTGGAGAACTCGGTGTTGTTGTTCGATCTCCGCCTGGAGTGGGTAAGCTTCTTCATGGAGATGGTTGGTAGATCCATCAGGTAGAGGAACGGAGACACTGACGTATACCCGTAGTGGTGAGCATGAGAGTAACTGTCACTATGGTCCGTCTCATGTTGGGGATTTTGGGGCAATGTGCCCATGGCGGTACTTGGTTGCGATCTGTCACCTGAGGATGTAGCACCGCTACTGGATTGCCCGTCGAAATGGCTCTGGCGACGTTGCATGCTCGTTGGTGCACGAGGAGAGTCAATACCGGCAAAGACAGAATCTCTTTTAGTCATATTAAAAACTGAAGCCAAGAGCTGAGGATCAGCAAACAAGTGAAGAGGTATGGTGCAAATGCAGTGGTGAAAAGAACATGTCATGAAGTAACACGATTTAGGGTAGAGCGAGTTGAACAAGAAGCAGGGCAGACATTTTTCCCGCATGATTTATGGGAGCATGTTACGGTTGGGAAGTGCCTCATGGCAACTCAGGCGCATGATATATGGCTGATTCTGGGAAGTGAATGGCCGAATATTGTTCGGAAACAGGATCCCAAATTCTTGACCTTCAGTCCAATGAGGACGAATTTCATGAAGAAGGTCAATCAGGCGGTACTCATTTCGGAGAACGAAGGTGTCCCCGGTCTGATCTTGCCAACGGAGATCCATGGATGTAGGTTCAAGATGGCGATCCCAAGTGTACAAGATGTGCTGGCTGATGTAGTATAGCAGGTTGTTCACCGTGAGTGTTTCCACGTGATATGTGTGGATCAGGACATGGTAGGTGAACAGAGCGAGTTCTTCCATTCTACCAAGAGAAGGTAAGGATTTGCATGTGGTTGAATCCATGACATCACCATGAACTCTTGTCATGAGTGGACGAACTGCTTCAAGATTGACGATAATGAGAACTTGCCTGGGTCGACGTACCGGTGGTACATCATGCCATGTATCGCGGTATTGACGTCGACGCTGGTGGTTGCGATTTTGCCACATGGGTTCGTCCCCGGAGCGGGATCGATCAGGGGCAACACGTACGTGATCAGAAGAGTAAGCATGAGCCATATGGACTGAGGGAAATCGCAAAAAGGTACATGCAGAAAGGAAAAGAAAAGAAAGAGAGGAACAGAAAAGAAGGAGAAAGGAGAGAAGAAGAAAACAAGAGGGTAAAAAGATGCTGCGGCATGGTGGCAGCTAGAAGGCAGGCACACCTTTTTCCTTGTTTGGAAATGTTCCTGGCGGTTAGTCTTCAGCCTCTGGTTCGTGAGGCGGGTGAACGTGACCATGTTGGTCCGTTTGTTTTAAAATTCCCCATCTCAACTTGCACACCTTTGGATCACGACGAAGTCGAGCGCCGATCGTCTTCCACGAGGGACGAGATTTGGTGTCATTCTTGAGATTGATCAGCTCTTGATCATAAGTGTTCGACCATGGTCTGAATGTGGTGTCGGAGGGAGGTCGAGAGGTTTCTGTAGGTTGGGGGATGCGAATGGTAGGAGTTGGTGTGAGGACCATTGGCGTTGAAGTGCCTGGTGGTGTGGTGGTGGTGGTGGTCGATGGTATTGTGGCAATTCGACCAGGGTCGAGAGTTGAGTTGTCGTGTACAGATGGGGCTTTGGATGCTGCATCATCATCCGAGTCGTCCGAAGTAAAGCCTGTACGTGGGATTTCTGAAATGATGGGAAGAGACACAGGACGAGCAGTGGATTCCGAACCCGACGCTGTTTTTTGCTTTTTCTTTGGTTGTGGATCTTCGGTCAAAGTGGTACGTTGTTTTGACCGAACAGGAACCGGCATTGTGATTCGGGTAGTAGATCGAGGATGGTCCGGCCCTGTTGCTGTTCCCGGAGGTACGGTGGTGGAAGGCTCTTCATTGGGAACTGGATTTCGGGTTGCGGTGTCTGAACCTGGAATGTAGTCTGTTTCATCACGAAACGTGAAATCATGAGGTAGCGATTCATCGTGAGAGGACGTAAATTTGGTTCAGGATTCAAAATCATATGTGATGGGATGCCTCCATGTGACACCATTGTTGGTGGATTTGATGTAGATGGTAAGGGAACAAACGTGCGGAGGCTTCTGGATGTGTGGGTAGGGCGACCCAAGCGAAGCTGTGGATCAGTCATTGGATCATCCCATTCAATGGATGGCTCGAAGAAAGGGAGGAGACTAGCCAAGTGGTTCAAATGCATAGTAGCCCGAGCCAGGTGGTGATGAAAGGCACGACCTTGAGCATGTCCATGAGGGCTGACACCAGAAGGAAGCGAGAGATTTCCGAGTTTGAGCCAAGTTGCTAAATAACAAAGACGGGACAGCTGCAGAAGGAAAGTTCAGTAAAAAGAAGCAAACACACCCCAAAGAAAGAAAGGAAAGGAAAGGAGGAAAAAACCAACCTGATGAGGAGTGCAGAAGAGGAATGGACAGAACAATTCGGGCAGCACGGGTTTTCCTAGGCGGCTGAAGGTTCTGATGCTGAGTCAGAATATGATTGGAAATGGCGTGGAGTTCCTCGTTGGGAAATCCAGCTCGTGTATACAAATGAATTAATTGGTCAAGACCTTGTTGAACGCGAGAATCTGGGAAGGCACCCTTGATCACAATGTGACAGCGGGAACGGAACCCGCTCAGCAGTACTTTGGGCGGAGATGCTGAGAACAGTGAAAGGACTTGAGAGACATTGGTAGGCCCTTGATAAATCAATTCCAGTGGCTTGGTCTCAAGCATGAAGCCAAGAAACTCTTGGTCAGGTTCCGTTTCAAGGATGATGGGTTTTCCGTAGAAGCCATCGTCCAACAGGACCTCATATGGTGAAAGGTCCAGAAGCCGTTTGTCTCCAAAAATGAGACGGTTGTCAACATAGCGGATGTGACGGGTGAAGAGATTGTGGTTGGATAGAATTTGTTTGAAGGTGATGGACCAAATTTGTTCGCTGATGGCATAAGGCTGGAGACAGTGGACTGCCCATCGGACTGCCTCTGCATTGACGAATACACTTTTGGCCCAATGCGAAATAAGTTTGCATGTTCAGTGCAGATCTGATTAGATCTAGAACATCCTTGATGATGATTTTTCGAGTAACATTGAGTCGACGGAAGGTTCGACCCTTGATGATATCACCGGGGTTGTTGGATTTTCCCGGGTAGACTGAGAAGGCTTCGCTGTCTGAAACATTCATGTTTGGGCGAAGGAAATCCAAAAGCATGAACCAGGATCCGACAAATCTGTCTTGGTCGATGCTGGTGAAGAATCCCGCAAGGTCCTGATTGACCA